GATTGATTTTGTTTTAATTCATTTTTATATTTATCTATTTCTGTTTTGATTGTTTGATGATCATTATCCATAATCCATTTATGAAATTCTTCATCTGTTTGAGCAAAACGTCTTTCGAAATTTTTCATATGTACAGGAATCATATGTTGTTTATCATCAATATCAGAAAATAATCTTCCACTATATTTCTCTCTAAATAATCGTTTTTCTTCACGTTGATTTAATCCTCGTTCATAATCTTCTTGTTTATTAAAATAGATTAATGCTTGTTCACGAACATAACGAATTAATTCATTTTGATCTTCAAAAGTTTCATTTAGATTTTGTTTATTTAAATATTCTCGAAATTTTATATAAATTGGACGTTTTGATGTACGTTGTCGATGAGCATGATTTAATTGATTATCATCAAAATATAAACTACGAAAATATTTCCCTTCTATAATCCATTGAAAAAATTCATTTTCATTTTCAAAACCTTTAATATATTGATCATAATTATAACCAAGAAAATTAAATATATCTTTAATATTTGTTGATAACATTAATCTAGTTGATGTTGTTGTTGGATCAAATTCTTTTGTATGTACATTCATCCAAAGACCTTGTAAACCATATTTTAAACCTATTTTATGGCAAATATTTCCAATTAAACCTCCTAAATCTGAATAAGATAAATAAACAATAGCATTTTCAAATTGTTCTTTTGATACAAGAATAAAATCAATTTGAAATTGTTCAAAATCAAATGAACAAACATCACCATTATGGCACATTTCTGTTGGATGAAATAATTCTTCAATTAAATTTTGAATATTTATTGATGATGGACATACCATAAGTACATCAAGATCACCAAAAGATTCTTTACATGGAAATTCTTTTGGAACATCATATTGATCAATACGTCCTTGAAGTTTATTTAATATACGTTCTTTTAATATAACATATTCAGCTCGGCTATAACGTCGAGTTACAACATTTTTTAATGCATTTCCACCCATGCCTTGTTATTTTCGTCAGTTGTTTCAATCCTACCATACGATGTTATTTATCAAGGAAAAAACATCTCATGCAACGGTTATTGCTCAATTATTATGAAAGATGATGCAATCATTACAACATACTTATTCATCATTTTTACAAATAAGAAAATATTTATTTCTAATACAAGCTGATTCAAATCAACTTCGATACTATCTCCATTTTTTCATTGGTTATTTCATTGTTTGATATCAATTTGTAGTCTTCCGTTCATATTTTCATGATAGTTACATAATGAATCAATTCTCTAGAATTCAAATTTCCCTTAGACATTCTGTAAGATGATGAAATTTGGAAAAGACAGTGCAAGCAGTAACTGAAAAAAAAATGAAAAAACAATGTATTATACATAAGATTATATTAGTATAATTTATACTAACTTATAATGATACTGTAAATGTAAATTTATGTTACCATTTCTAAACCACTTGACAATTGATTTTTTATTTTTGGATGAGAACAGTATTCATTTTATTAAAGCAAGAATGATTATCGCACTAGGAATTAGAAGTGTAAGCCGATGCGTTGAATGGCAGCTCAAATTTTTGGATGAATTTTTAAAAGAGCTTTTTAATTTTGAGAAATTTTGAAATGAAAAGGAAAGAAAATGATGGTAGAGAATTTATTGACAAGAAACCAGATTTCAACATCTTCAAAAAGTAATCTGGGATATCGGAAACTTTCAAAAAAACCAAACATCTTTTTTGCGTCGTGACAATTAGAATCTTCAGTAATTATTTTGAACAACGGCAGCAGCGGCTAATATATCTTAAAAATTTTGCGGCCATCGCCGGCGGTGGCTCAGCTGATCGGCTTACACTCCTATTATATAATGAAAATGAAAGTAGATCATCTTCAAGGTAATCTATATAAAATATTTGAATATTTTGTCATTGTCACTGATTAATAATCGTACAATTTTGAGTTTCACAAGTCAATTTAGATTTAATAATATTCTTTCTATGATTCTTTTTTATTCTATCTATTAACAGAAACATTATTTTCGCTTAACAATAAATATAACTAGAGAATGGTTGTTTTTTTTTTGGTTAATTTGAAATAGTATTTTTCAATTGAAATATATTTTAAATTTCTTTTTGTTAATGAATCCATTATTTATTCCAAAAATAAATTTTCATTTTAAGCCAATTCCAAGTTCTCTTAAACCAATTGAGAGTTTTTGGTGTAATTTTAATAGTAATTATTGTACCATTTTTTGTTGATGTCGTCGTTGAAAATTCATAATAATTTCGTTCAGTTGATATCCATGTTAATGAATTAGTTGGTGATATATTAATAACATTACCATGTGGATAATTTAAATCTTCATTTATATAAATAATTGTTGGTTGTTTAATATCTGTATTGACGATAAAATCTAATTCAAAAGTCGAAGATATTGGTTCAAAGAACATAAATGATGGTTGACCTTATTAAACAAAACAAAAATGACTGCAAACAAACAAATAATAATAACAATAAATAATACCTGCAATTGCTTGTGCATATGATCGTGAAAGTGCTTTTACTTTATTCATTTCTAATTCACCATCTTCAGTATAGAATGATTCAGTTGTTGCTGGACGTGCCGCTGTTGTTAAATCTTGATATTTTTTAAATTGCCAATAAGACCAACCTAAATAAATTAAACAACAAGACAAGTCATTTATTTTCTCTTTTGAAGACTATCAATATTGTTATTCAAATATACTTTGAAAAAATTCATCTGCTAATCCTGTTATTCGATGAAGTTCTTTAACACCTTCCGTCGAATTACTTATAGCACCAAATTCTGTTAACATCATTCCACCAAATTTCTTTTTCTTAGCTTCTTCATATCGTAAACTAATAAGGAGTGCATCATCTATATCACAAATAAGATCTGATTTTGGATCACCTTGTTTTGTAACATCAATACAATAAACATGATAACTAAATGCTTGTCGATCATTATAATCAATACCACCAGGTCCTTCTTCAAGTCCTGTTTGAAATAGATCGGCAACGCATGGTTCAAAAAATATAATATGTTTATCATCAACTTGACGAATAACTTCATGTAATTTTTTATACATAGGTGCTAAATAAATTCGGTCAACATCTCCTGTTTCAATGACTTCAGCAAGTTCAGGAACTGATGGTTCATTAAGTAATTCATAACCAAGAACAGATGAACGATTAGCAAATGTATTAGCAACAGTTTGCCAAAAAGAAGCAAATGAATCAAGTGTACCATTGCCATTTGTATATCTATATGATTATATATATATATATATATATACACTAAATTAGATAGATAATTTGTATGGTATCGGAAATGCAAAATGAAAGAAAAAGCTTTGTTTTCTGTTCTCTATATATGGTACAATTTTTTGCGAACGATTTTTCAGAGGGAAATTTTCCGCTTTTTTTTAAATGACCTGCTTTTTTGTGAGAAAACAGGTCAATTATTAATCAACGATAAATTTTCAATTTTTTCATTTCATTTAAATTTCAAAACTATTTGTTTCAAATTTAGCATGAAAAACTAAACCTAGAAAACTCATTTATAAATGAATTTCTTAGGTTTTGGTTTTTACACTAAATCTGAAACAAATAGTTTTGAAATTTAAAAGAAATCAAAAAAAATTGAAAATTCTCTTCTAAAAAGTCATTTGAAAAAAATTTTACAATGCACATATTCTTGATCAACTCGTCACGCTCTATCAAAACATATATAAAGAAAAGATTCTACTTTGATTTTGCATTTCTAACGTTTTACTTACAGCATTTTAAATCCATGCAAAACAGCTTCAGTAAGATAATATTGAAAAAAAGGATGTTTAAGACATTCATCTAGTTTTGGATAACCAGTATCAGGCTCTCGTGTCATATTAGGAGCAACTGGAAATGGAAAAGCTTTAACTGTTGCATCAC